ATATCTCTCCTATCCTGGCTTCTCTTCATTGGCTTCCTGTTAAAGGGTCATTTTGGCTAGCTGGTATTTATGCTTTTAATCAGCATCGATAATTTCTTCTTCACAGGAGGACATTCAGCAGAAGGAAGGTCACATGCGTTGGGGTGACGGGTTCGTCATCGTCTATGACATCACAGACCGTGGTAGCTTTGAGGAGGTGGCCCCGCTTCGATCCCTCCTAGAGGATGTGAAGAAACCCAAGAACGTTCCTTTAGTGCTGGTCGGGAACAAATCGGACCTGGACCACGTCCGTCAGGTCCCCACGGAGGAAGGGGAACGTTTGGCAGCGGAGATGGCATGTGCCTTCTACGAGTGTTCGGCCTGCGCCGACGAGGGCGGCGTCGTGGCCGAAGCTTTTCACGAGCTATGCAGGGAGGTGAGACGCCGCAAGGCCGTTCAGGGCAAGGCTCGGCGCCGCAGCTCCACCACGCACGTCAAACAAGCCATCAACAAGATGCTGACCAAGATCAGCAGCTAGGGCAGAGCCCTGCTGAAGACCAGAGACCACAGGAAAATATGTCTATTTTTTCTCATGGAAATAACTGGGGACCATTATGGTTGAAAAATGATTTCCACTGAAGAAAACCAACAGTTCTGCAAGAACTTTACTTTGGAGGAGCAAGAAAAGCAGCTCTTGATACTCTCTTATTTAAACATATAAGTTGCTACACTCTAAAATACCTTTGTGCATGGAGACATGTTAACGTGAAATAGAAGTTATTTGTCTAAAATGAAAACAAGCCGGTTTTGGGATATCGCCGGTACGACCAGAAACGGGACCAAATGACAGACTGAAAAAAAATTTTTTTTTTAACTGAATAGCTCATTACTCCTACTTTAAACCAAAAATGTTTGGGTCAGCTAAAATTTTATTAAATAGAACCAAGAGAAATGTGTTCCATCTAACCGGCAGTGCACAGCGTCAGTCGGAACGATTTAACCTACGCTCTATCTGAAATAAAAACCTGGAAACAATTAAAACTCGTATGAACTGCCTGATGGAAACATTTAGTGGTTGACAAGTTGGGAATTCTGGCTTTTATCCATCAAAATTCCCATTTCAGTTCCTTTCAGAGTATTATAAGTTAAATTTATGAAACTGATTTAACGTATAAAATCTAAATCCGTTATTTAAATTCCTTTTTTAATCTAGTTCAACTAGAGATCAACCAATAAAGTTTTTTTTAAGGCCTATTATGGGGGTGGGGGTCACAGTCATTAATGTCTCGTACAAAAAATAAATATACCATGAAATAATTAAATGTATTTGTTTATATATTAATGATTAAAATATTAAATATACTGCTTCACTGTAAAAAAAAAATACAGTTGAATAAATAAGTATATATTTAGTAAGTAAGTATACATTTAAATTGATTAATTAATATATTTATTTAAAAAAAGATTTAAAAATTGACATAATTGCCTCACTTTATACGTAAAAATAAATATAGAGCGCAGTAGTTTTAAGTATTGTTATTTTTGGGGTCAAAGTATTATGATAATTTTATCCCAATTATTTGCTTTGTCGTGACACAATGATAGCATAAATCTCAATTGAACCAGAAAAACAAATGTTTATAAATCAATTTAACTAGATGTTAAGAATTTAGGGCAAATTATGGAGCTAAATTGGGGCATTAAAAGTTTTTTTCAGGAATTAAAAACTATTAAACTAAAAGCAAAAATAAACAGCAAAGAAAAAAAACTGAAAACACATTTTTTAAACTACTTTTCAGAATTTTCAGTTTCAAACAGTTCCTTTGTGGGGGCGGGGCTTAGAGTACATGGGAAGTGGACTGATGACAGACAGCAGGTGCCTCAACAAGACCATGGGAGAAATGTCTCTAAAGCATAATTCACTTTTCCATATTTTATATTTTCTTCAGTTTCATTTTTTTCAGATTCCTAAATATTATTTAGATTAAAAACTTTCCTTTCAAGTTCAAAAAATGCTTTTAACTTTTAAATCCTTGTTTATTTATAAACTGTTTTTCAGGTTAAAATAATTAAATTTTAAACAAAATATGTGTTTGAACAAAGTTAGTGGCCCTAATGTAGCTCCATAGAAAATGCACTGCAGCAACAATGCATTCACTCCCCATGATGTTACAGCATCACTGCTGAATGCAGTCATAAATTGGCCAAATGAGGCACTTATCAGCTTATACAGGAAAAAAAAAGATTAATATTGATTAAAATCTTTCACTTCAACCAACATGTAAGGAAAAAAATAGAACTTTAAAGTTGGGAGGAATGTTTCTTTGGTGACGACGTCCTTCATCGGTCTCCGTCCCCGAAACCAGCTTTCTAATAAAAATGGTTTCCGTCTAATCAAAGCTTTCCACGAGGATCCAGATGTGTTTTGTAAATACTGAAAGGGAAGCGGCGTCACATCATAAGGATGATATTCTGCTCATGCTGCATCTATGATAGATTACGCATCCTAAAGCACATCTACAGTGAAGCTTAAGCTGCGTACAGGAAGATCCTGTTGGTGTTTGTGTTTGCTGTCAGATCAAAAACAATCCTCTGTGTGCATGAAATTAAACACTGATCTAACCAACCTGTTAATATAAAATCAGTATTGTTTTTTTTAAATCAACATAATGCTGATATTCGGCTGCCTGTGTTGTCTTAAACAAAGCTACTTAGCAGTTTGCAGATTTTTCAGGCTTATATAGAAATTTACTAAAACTTTGATTTCTAGGCACAACTTTCTGTCAATGGTGAATTATCTTTTTTATAGTTTTATATAGGCTGGCCTAAAACAAATTTTTAGATTTTTATGCCCGGATCAGAGGTGATGTAATACTGGGTGTGACTCTTTTTTTTTCTTTCCAATTTGCACCCCATCCGTCTTTAACACCTCCCTGATGCCGACAAAGCATCCTCCTTTTTTGACTTCTACACTAAAAAGTGTTTTTGTTGTATCAGAATCAGACATACTTTAATAATCCCAGAGGGAAATTACAGTTTCAGTATAACTGTACAACCAGATTAACTGAGACTAAACTGCCGGGTTCCCACTGGTTACCTGGCTGCCCAGGTCCAGGCGGTTAACTAGCGCTGCCATTGTCTCTGCGGAAAGATAGGAGCCATATTGGGGACAAGAGGGGAAAAAAAAAAACATTTTTCACACTTTATCCTTGACAGGAATCTTGCACAAGAAAGCACAAGTAAACACAGGACAGACATTTAAGCAGAGGGTCACATCGGAGGCGGAGTCACATGAAGTCAATCTGACCTATTGAGACATTAGTTGTGTGAATGATGAGTGCGTTCAATTTCTTCATTAAAGCTGACTAAAGGCAATGTCCTTGATAAGATGGAAGTTTTTACAGTGGCTCTTAGGTATGCTACATTCCTGCACCGGCATCAAGGGTTTTGTTCCTTTTCTGAAGGACTGATCATCAGAGCTACAACAAGCCACATAATATATATTCTAATGTACTAAAATTACTGTTTTTTATGATGGACAGCTGATTTTTTCAGCTTATGAGTCACAATAAATTTCCATTAGCATATAAAGTTTCCTGTAGGGGCCGTTTTATGTTGAAAAGGGGTCCCTATGTCCTCCAGCAGTCTAAGCCTATAGCAGCAGAACTATAGAGATAG